CCTGTTAGGCACTTCGGACCACTCTTGTCAATTGCATCAATAACTAAATAACAAATATGCCATTCCATTCCTATTGCCATGTTAAACCGTTTCCATTTCCCTAGACTGAGTTACCTAAAAAGCAAACGGTTTTGTAGGCATGAATATAAATAATGTCATTCTGACCGCAGAGGCAAGACAAATGATGGTTACGAATGGTGTTTTAGCAAACTACATGAAGCTGGGAAGTCACGTCGTAAATCATATTGTCTAATGGCTGTCCGTGTAGAGACCGGTGTCCTGCCGACGTACACATGACTCCTGCACAACGACCTGCCTCCCAAGACGCCAAGTAGTCTAGCTATCCCCGCCACTACACAAAATAATTTGTGTTGTCAGACGCAGAAACACACGCCATGAATCAAGATAAAGGTCCTGGCAGACTTAGCCCGAAGCAAAATCTGAACTAAAAATCAGTTAACATTATTCACGAAGTGTATGTGTCGGCGAAGCCGGCTGGTTGATTCATTTTTCCACGTCACCCGTTTCCTGATGAGATTTGAAGATTTGGTCGCTGAAAGTTGGGATAACGCACGCTTAAGGGCACGTTTTACTTCACGTGTCTTGTAAGGGTTGAAGAAGATGTGGCAGTTCTTGACCTTTGGCTCGGGAAAGGGACGTGCTCGCGATAGCTGCCACCAATCTCCGGGCTGCAGGGCGGGTGTGTTATCTGGACGCCGGGATTTGCTGAATCATCCGCATGTTTGTGGCACCACGTCGCGTATGAAATCGCGCCAGCCTGGCTCCTGATAATTCCCGGCAATTCATTACGTGCTTAAATAATGTCATTTGTGGGCCTGAATGTGGATACGCCAATAACGACTTGGCGTTCAGCACCAAGGACAGCGGCGGGCGCGCAACAGCAGGACACGCCGGGATTAAACCGGGAACGGCTGACGTCACACAAATCCCGGGATTGATTGAGGACATGAGTCAAACTACGGCCATCCTGTACCGGATGGAAATATAGACTTTACCTAAGGACTAAATACAGGAGTAGACAACATAACCAACGTTTGTTCTCATTGGTCTCTATGTTGTATGTACAATATATGGTACACTACGACAAAACAAGTAGATGTTTTCGTAATTACCACACGTATAGATTCGCTGTGTGAAATATGATGGGTATTAAGTCACTGGGTATTTATCTTCCTACAAAACAGATGCACAGAATATCTCATCATTTTATGGAGATCTAGAAGAGCGGTTCTATACTTTGGACGTTGAATTTAGACGCATTTCTGTGTATCATATTACGTCAGAATGACGACCATTACGAAAAAAACAAGACATAGTTTCCAATCGTACGTTCAGGTAATTAAAGTTTAAACATGTTTCCTCCTTCACTGATTTTGTCTACCTTCACGGTAGAAGGCTGAATGTCAAGTATGAATACTTAAGAGACACTCAAATTGTGTATTCATAGAAAGGAAATTGAATAATAACCTGGTATCTCTTTTACTGTGACTCAACATGTAATTGTCCCGAATAGTAGAGTTTTACTGTGATAAAGATTTGTCAATCAATCAATCAATCAAATGGTGTTTTATTCGTAAAAAAACGTGGACTTTGCAGCCAAAGGCTGAATTGCGTCCAGTTGTACATGCAAATTCATTACACATTTATTTACATTTATTTACACAGGCATTAACACAGGCATTATTTACAACGACTTTAACGTACGGTGTCTAACACAAATAGTGACTGTTCAGGAGGTAGGTCATGTATGGGACGCTACTCTGTTTGTACCGCTCAGTTCTACATTTGGTAAGGGTCAGTTTGTTACTGGAACGAGTGGTGCGCTCAGTGGTGGTGCCCCTCCTGGGCGGTAGCCAGTGTTGGAAGTCCTGTGATCTGAGAACTTTCATAGCAAAGTTCAGGCAAAGTTGGACCCTTCGGTCTTCTAGCGTAGGTAAGTCCAGCGTTGCACATGCCTCGGGGTATGAAGTATAAGCTGACCCGAGTATTACTCGACACGCGCGTTTCTGGATATACTCGATCCTGTGGCGTTGTCTGGTAGTCAGTCCAGGATGCCAGGTGGGCGCCGCGTATTCACAGCTCGGACGGACAAACGTTTTGTAGCAGGTAAGTAAGTCATCCCTAGAAAGGTCAAACTGTTTGAGTTGTTTGAGGAGGAAGAGCTTCCTGCTACCTTGTTTGACAACGTGATCGACATGAGTATTCCAACCTAGGTCGGCCTGAAGGTGTAAACCAAGGAGTTTCACTGCCTTCACTTCTTCCAACAGTATACCAGCAATGGATAAGGACGGCAGTGGAGGGGGAGTTCTTGTGAAAAACACGTGCATAGCTTTGCACTTCCCTGGATGGAGCTGCATTTTCCTCGATGTTGCCCATTGCTCAAGATGGTTTAAGTCTGTCTGAATGGTTGAGGTATCCCCGATCATTCTGCTCTCCGCAAGGTTAAGATCGTCAACGAACTTCCACCGCCTAGCGGAGGAGTTCTCGTTTGCACTGTTGATCAGAGCGAGAAATATCAGTGGGCCTAAAACAGTTCCTTGTGGAAGGCCACAAGTAGTCTCCCTCCAGTCAGAATACACCCCCTTGTACATTACTCTCTGTTGCCTGGCAGTGAGGAAGGAGCAAATCCATTTGGCGAGAGAGCTTCTTAGTCCCAGTTCGAGTAGACTTGAGACAGCTAGGCTGTGATCTAATATAGAATGGGTCGGATCTTTGTGATATAGAATGGGTGTAACAAATGAGAAAAGTGAATATTTATATAAAAATATAGTTTCCAATGGTCCCATCTGTACTTAAAACGCTACCAGGCATTACGATAGTACGTCAGTAAATATTGATGTACTATTTCATACAAGACTACCCGTATATTAGTCGGACCAAATCACGCAATATGTTGCCAGAGGAACAAAATCCCAATATCCCCTGGCCGTCTTTGAAATGTATGATTTAGTCTCGTTTCCCTAACAGCTACGGTCTTTTCCTCTCATGAAAAATTGAATGTGTAAGGTAAGGACTCATCCGCGTACAGCGTACAGACCCGTTATCGGCTTCTGTGAACCTTGTTTCCGGTGGTATTTTGTGTCAGCACGAACGCCCTGCTCCCACCCTCCGATGGGATAAATAATGGATGGCTCTTTCACACGAAGCGGGGAAGTCGCGGTACCTCCCGGTGATTAAAGAATCGCCCCGTTGCCGTCCCAACCATATGTTCGCTTGATGCAATCTCTCCGCGCAGCGCCAGACGACCTACATCTGCGTGTGGTTCGGTCAGGAGAGGACGACTTTTCTTGCCCCTGGCCTTTGTCTTTGGCGCCTAAACTGAAGTCCTGCTGAATAGATCGTACCGGGTAGTAGTAGTAAGCAAAGCCCAGGAGACCGCTCGCACGCGTATGTCCACGCCCAGTTCCCGACGAGCTCTTCATCGTGGTTGGACCGGAGCGGACCAGGAGGCCGCTCGGAGCGAGAAGCGCCGGGACGGGGAGGACTTCACCAGCGCCGCGCCGATTCGGGGCGACACCGACTAGCCGCCGACGAGGGCCCGGGCACAGCGGCATGGCCATGCGGCGGATCAAGCGGGCGTTCTTCGCGGTGCTGGTGGTCTGTTTGGCCGGGATCATCGTTACATTTCTCATGCTAGGTAAGCACACCATCCATGCCTGTTGTCTGGACACAGTTCATCTAATTACAATGATGGTAATTGAAATCCCCGCATGAAATAGAACGTAGTTGGCATTCTTTGCAGCGGAAATACCACTGCCTGTGGTCGACGACATTATCAAAAGCTCTCCAACCACCTGGTGTACGTTTTAATTTATTTCTCCTCGTGCTCGTGCAGTAATATGCTTCCGGCTTATCATGTCGTATGCACATGTTTTCACTACGGACTTGCTCGGGGGGCATAGTGTACATTGCTATCCATGTTTAGCTATCTTCTAGACAACAGTAAACAGTATGTATGTATGGACATGTAGGGAAAACTATGTACACTGGGACCATTTGCAGCGGAATCATAGCTTTAACCGGGTGCGTCTCTAGTAACTGCCTTCAAAACAATTGGTATAAAACGTTGCGTATACTCGTACATCAAGGAGAATTTTTATGATACAAAAGCTACACTCGTAAACTTATTAAATATTCATACAGAAAATTAGTTCTAAACAGAAAGTATAGGAGAAGAATCCAGTCTACGTTAGTAGAAAGTCAGTCACGAGCCCACGCTGAGAAAGCTATTACTCGAGCAAAATAGGCAGCCATGCATTTAAAACGTTGCCGGAAGCGTTGAACTGGAAAATATTTCACTATTATTTCCCCCGTGCAGGCATCAATTAGACACGCCGCGCCATAGCAATGCATAGTAATTGTCTCTCCGAACTAATTTGTTGGAAGCCACTAAATATTTGGGCTGGCAAGTTTTTGGTTTGATAGGTAATTTTGTATGCGTTATTGGATTAGCTAGTCGCTAAACGCCTTTAGAGAGGACTGTTTTATTGGAGAGTTAGCACATAGATTGCCTTTCGGTGAGTCGTTGTTGCGTTTGTGCTCGCTGATACTTCTTTGACTGTGTTCTATCAGTCAGTGATGTCTCTTTGGGGCACTTTCCAAGCCGTCTGTGGTAACTACTGAACACGTTCACGGTTCTTTTTTTCTTCTTCACCATTGGTTATATGGCGTGCGCGCTGTCACATTGGATGTCGTCATACGAGATTAATATCATGGGATTCTCAAGAACAAATGCAGGCTGTGAGAGAACCAACCCTTGACAAGGGTCTAAGACAACTTTTTCGGTAACAAAACATGATTTTTGTACATGCACGACTAATCCCAAAATGCCCTCAGTTTGCGACTATACGACGATGAAGACCAGGTCTCAGGTGTCATTTGAACTGAGATGCTGTGTATCATATGGGCGCTACCCACTCCACGGGTAGAGTGGCCTGAGGCCTAGGAAAAATGTTGTGTTTCCTGTTTCCCGACCGACCCTAGAGAAAATGCCGACCCTGGCATTTTTTGTGTGGACCCCTACAAGGGACATAAATAGCTGAACGACCTTTTCTAGCTCCATGATCTGATACCTGAGTGAAGAAACGTTCTACAATCGGTTTTCCAACATTGACATTGAAAATAAAAGTGTCCTCATGCAGGTTTTACTTTGTTAAACTGTATTGTATAAGTTGGATTACTTAAGATTGCTAAATTCTAATAAAAAAGAAAGAAAAGAAGATAATCCCTACCTACCGACCCTAATTTTTTTCAAGATTGAAACAAGAAACAACATTTTCCCTAGGCATAACCAGAGGTTTCCTATTCACATCAAATTCCCGTAAACCGATGACTAACCCCACAGTAACACCTACACGCACGGCTCCTCCTAATCCAGAACGAAATTATTTACCGCGTGTTTTATTCATGTAGATGGGATGTAACAATCAGTAACCGCCAGCGGCGACCAAAATAATTTCATGAAAAGCTTAGGAAATGATCCCCTCATTACAAGGATTTGAATTCTGTATCTTCTTCTTCGCCGTCCCAAAGGAGGATCCAAATTGTACTCCGTTTTATCTTCATAAGACGTTCCAAAATGAGAAACATTATATCGTCTAAAAAGATAGGGGTGTTAGGAATTATCATATGATTAATGCACGCTGTTTTCTGCCTCGACATATCTGTCGAATGAAAGTTTCAGCAGTTAAAAGTGCGATCTATATGCTGTATACATAATGCATGTATTTGTGCAAGTTGCGTAACCGTGTGGAGCACCGTAAGCTTGTGATTGATACGTTATTGCTAACTTTTGGATAGATAAAATTGCTGACAAACTTTATTGAATTGTAAGCAGAATAGTTTTTTTTCTAACAAGGAACGATTAAAAATAAAATCATGATTAACACTCGAGGTTCAAACATGAAATTCCTTCGCCCTATCCTGTCGGATATTTTACGGATGAGCACATTTTTTTCATGATTGTACCTGCAAAATATTAATTTTGTATAAAACTGAAAGGTTTCAGAGCATAATTGCACCGAGCATGTTCACAAAACTCAACTCTCTCACAAACCATTATCAATATGTCAACGCTACAATAGCCTAATTTTGTATGAATTAAGAGCCTGGGGTTTACTTTAATAGTGTAATGGCCTTTCTTCACTAAAGCGGACGAGAAAATGAGACTGTATGGCGTTAGGTGTTGATATCTTTGTACCGCAGAAACCAGTTATGTTTCGGTTGAACGCCAATGCTTCACTTAAGTGCCCAAACACTGAGAAAAAGTGTGCGGGGATTGAAGTCGGCTTCTGCGTCACACAGCAAAGTGGATTACCCGAGCTAACGTTCTGTACAAATTGAGTTGGAGTAGCTCCGTGATCGCTCTTCGACAACACTTAATCAAGCTTTCGTTCCGTCCGCTTAAATCGTTTTCAGCGCACCCTTTTGACGAAGATAGGACATGTCTTGGGTAATCTCATTTACTTGGGCAACTCGTTAGTGTAGCTAAAGTTTCCTCTCAAAATACTTTGTTTACAATCGTGCATAAGAATCACCCTGCCTTAACAGCCATACGGGTCATATATTTATTGTTTTGTTTTCTGTTTAATGTCTCGGTAATCTCATTTACTTGGGCAACTCATTAGTGTAACTAAAGTTTCCACTCATAATACTAAGTTTACAATAGTGCATAAGAATCACCCTGCCTTAACAGCCATACGGGTCATATATTTATTGTTTTGTTTTCTGTTTAACGTCTCGGTAATCTCATTTACTTGGGCAACTCATTAGTGTAGCTAAAGTTTCCACTCAAAATACTTTTCTGTACAATCGTGCATAAAAATCACTCTGTCTTAACAACCATACGGGTATTATATTTATCTTTATTGTTTTGTTTTGTTTTGTTTTGTTCGTGCATAAAATCACTCTGTCTTAACAACCATACGGGTAATATATTTATCTTTATTGTTTTGTTTTGTTTTGTTTTCTTTTAATTCTTGTGTTTTTGTTTGCTTACTGAGAATCTTCATTAGTGAGACACTGGGTAATCTCACTGGAATCCTCTTTAATTGTACGTTAATTACGACGATACATAAACACAATAAATATCAGTATTTATAATAACTAATACATCTTATACTATATGAAAATTATACACATTAAATAATGTAATTTTCTTCACCCAAGTCCTCTATCTCCTAATTACAGTGTATTTCATGAAGTTTAATATTTGTGTGTTTTTTTCGCCCCAAAAATTGACATGAATTGATAAGTTACAGGCAGGTAACATTACTATACAAAGCTTTGCCTCACATAACAGTCGTTATATATGACAGATCAAGGCTGTAGCTGCTGCACTGTGCACCTGGGACTCTCTCCTCTCCCTTCATCTTTAAAGAGCGGTTTAATGGTCGTTATTCCTGGTACATGATACAGGCATCTTTTATTGATAATTCCATTACAAAGCGCTGTCCAATGAGATGGGGTGTAGTTTGAAGAGGCGGTGCGATGCCATATCATATTCTGTAAGCTGCGCCGTTAGTGCTTTAGTTACTGCGAACTGGAACGGTGGGGTATTGATTTCTTCACCGTCATTAAAACGAAATGATCATCCAGAATCTACCTGTCGCCTCATAGATGTATGCCTCTAGTCTGCACCAGGCTCCTTTGCAAGCTGAATGAATAGTAGAAATCGGCCTGAAAGAATGTAGCTGGCCAGGGGAGGTGGCAAACTGGACCCTCTATGGCCGGCCAACTTCCTTGGTCAGCTACATTCTCTTCAGGCCGATTTCTACTATTTATTGAGCCTGCAAAGGAGTAAAATACGCCTCTCTGTGTTCTGTCCCGCACAACTTAATGCCACACGCCGTCGAAGCAATCCAAGCGGGGAAAGTTAAAGACTATAATTGTTGAACAATAGCAGGTTGTGAATTATAGCTCCCTTTAATAGAAAGCTTTCTTGAATGGGTGTAAAGGTTCCACGATTACCCCCCGGCCCATCGCCCGAGTAATGAGTTCTCAATGTAAAGTGTTCATTAATTGGCCCATTGGTTCGGAGGATTTGAGAGGCATTGAGCGAACTAATGCCGTCTGCTGGCACCATAGTTCCTAGGAAATTTGCATGTTAGCAGGGTAATTACATTAATTATTACCACTTTAACACTTCTGGTGAGAGTTTTATCTGCTGTTTGGCTGTTTGCGTGGTTTGTATCTGTTGACAAACAACAGAATCTGATCATCATCCTTGCAGCTGAAAATGAGTATCCTTTTTTGGGGTAGACACATACCTGAAAGCATGGGAGGTACTGGTCTTCATGCCTAATGTATAACGTGTGGGTTTCTAAGTCCCGTTGTTTTGTAGGCTTCCAGTTGTTCGATCCCACTGATACAACGTAAGCCCGGATGAGATACCTGATGACCGATGCCCAAACCCACTTCAAAGCGCCGCCCTAACCCCGGCAGCTCCCCTGCCATCCCGCGGGTAGTCCCGGCACCAGCGGCAGGTCAGCTCACAGCTCCCCTCCCCTGCTCACATATCGATCGTCTGCTGAATAATTTGCTTTATAGATCGGAGCAGATTTAATGGGCGTCTCACGGCGTTATGATGACCCCATGGTCCATTGACCAGGTAATGTCTCTCCAATAAACGTCTTTAAA